TGATAGCTTATGTTCAGCAGCAAGAAGTAAAAGTTGATTGAGTGGAGTGGCGATGAGGTTATCACATTAAATTATTATATAATTAGTTAAAGCTCAAAGTTCGGAGACAATTATGAAGAAATTATTATATACAGTAAAAGCTCTTTATTCGCGGGGTATATGTTCCATAAATATGCCGCGAATACAGAAACCATGAATATGGAATGGTAATTTATATGTGATTATAGGGAACACGTTCCTAGGTGACAAAATAAAAAACAAATAGGTATATAAAAATCAATTTAATTGAAGTGTTTGACCATATTAATTATTTAGGCTTAGGCAATGGTTTAAGGAATTTTGTAATTTTTTCCTTGCTTGGCAGATTTTAAAACCTCCTCCAATTCAGACTGATATGCAACAGTGGTATTAGCAATTTGCCTCTTGAAATAAAACTTCGTTCCATAGACGGATCAATTTTCATAAATAAATTACAAAGCTCATTTTTGCCATTCTTAAACCTTTACTAGATTTTTCAAATTAAATGTCACGTTTCTGATATATCCGAGAATAAAGAAATCTTTAGCCGCGAATGTCGGAATTGGGTCGCATTTTTTTTATCTGCGAATAGTGAAAACGCGGAAAATAAGGAGCTTTTACTGTACGCTTAATTTTTATTAAAATACCTTTTTTACTCTTTTGAGGGGAACCTGTACATAGTACATACGATTTAGAGCCATGCTGCAGTTTAATTAGTAGCATAGTTGCATTAGTAGTATAGCAGGACCACTCTCTCACAGAATGCCAGCGTAAAATGGTAGCGTAATTCTGCTGTTTGGTATGATGAGTGAGATCTGGAGACCATTTTTACTGAAAACTAGGCATTCCATCTTAGTCATCACGGGTGACAAGGCATCTGCATTTCAATTCGTAATCGAGGATAGATGTAGATGTCTATGGGTCACAGAAACCACTTGATATCAGGTGGACTGTGTGCTCGTTTGTCACCCTATCCTATAAAAAATATGTAGTAAGTATAAAACAAAATCCGCACCGTCTGTACGCTTAGATCTTTTGAACTACGCACAGGATTTTCATAAATAGACAGAATAATTCAACAGAAAGGCTTATATGTATAATACATGCATATTCTAATCATCACGATCAGTTTTTGGATGTACGTCAGTTCAACTGAGCAGTTTAACTGGCAGTACGACCGAAAAAATCCGTAGGTTGCTGTCAGTTAAAAATTTCTACTTAAGATTTCACAAACACGGTCAGTTTTTGGGTGTACGTCAGTTAAACTGATCAGTTTAAGAGACCGTGTGTGGCGACCATAGTCAACTTATTGCTTGCACTTGTGCGCGAAGGTTATAGAATGCCTGTACAATTAACTAACAGTAGATGGCGTAAAGTCAAATTTATCTGAAAGTTTTATATCATTCAACTCCAATGAATGTATTATAATTTCTAATTAAACATTGTAGATGCTTTATAAGGATATTTTTTCTGTGGCAGCAATGCGCCGGATACAAATTCGTTCTCAATAAAAATAAAACGTTTAAGCCTAAAATCATTATATCATCAGTCAATAGGTATTTAAAAATTGCACAATCAATTAAAAACTAATCAGAGCTCCATTTGCAAATATTTGACGTTGTTTGATCCTTGAATTATTTGAGATTTTTGTCAATGGAAAATCTGTGGGTATAAATACAGACAGACGTTCGTATTCACCATCAGTTTCGTCAATCACAGAAGATCTCACATCTCACCACTATGAGGGTAGGTATAAGATTTTCGTCTCTTTTTCCTAAGTTTCCTTTTTGTTCGTGTTTTGCTCGTTTTTGTTAGTTTTTATTACGCAGTGCTAATATAATATTAACATGGAAGCTGTTATATACACGATGCAGTAGAAATGGGTCAACTCGACTGGAGAAAGACCACGCTTTCTGAGAACATTTGCGCAAAATAGCAGCATAATTCTGTTGTTTCATATAGTGAGTGTAGGGATCTGGTGACCCTTTTACCTGGAAACGAGGCATTGTATCTTAGTACTCAGGGGTGACAATGCGTCTGCATTCACAGCTTCCACTTACAATCAGGTGGACTTTGTGCTCATTTCTCACATCTGTTCTATAAAGAAGTTGTAAATCACAATCGACAAGCTATAATTGTATTATTAACGTTTTTTTTAAATGTCAACATCATCAAAAATGTCCTATAACTGAGATGTACCAGCAACGACTCCAGTATCCATTATTTATTTTTAATAACTTTCAATATGCATATTAGAGAATGGTGAGTAAAGATACGGAGACTTTTTCTGGACGCGAGGCATTCCATCTTAATCAAGGGTGACTTTTTGAAGGGCGCATTTTGAATCTTAATTGAGGACAAAAGTATATGTCTATGAGCTACACCATTCACTTACCATCGGGTGGACTGCGTGCTTGTTTGTGATCCTTATGCTATATAAAAAGTGACCTATAAACAGCTAAATCCTCAATAACAGCAATATTTCTACCTAATTTCAGGTATATGCCATATTCGTCCTTGTAGTGGCTTCAGTTGCAGCAAAAGGATCTGGCCCATACTTGCCGAGTGGGTGGAGACCAGAGGGTCCAGCTTTCTATCTACCTTCAGAGATTGAGGTGCGTGTGTATAATTTTTTTAAATACATCATACAAACATACAAGTATCTCTATTTCAACACAATAATTCGATGATAATAAAATGAAAACTTCATTTTCGACGTTGTTGTTGTTGTTTTTATTATTCGCTCGAGAGAGCAGGCAAAGGAAATAAGCCATACAGCCTTGTTTTTTTTTAATTTGAATATATAGAGTATTTTGAAGTGTAAATTCCGGAACCAAGTCTTATTTTTCTTTTTTCTATTTCTTCAAAATCCATAAAGGCCGAAGCCAAGTCTTATTTTCTTTATTTCTTCATATTTTCAAAAACCACAAATTCTAAAGCCGTTTTCTTTATATTATAGGTAATCTTTATAAGTTTCAATCCATATAGATTTATCAGTCCAGTTTCAAGGTTCCCACGCTTTTTTTTCTTTTCTTCACAATATGCTGATGCGTCACATTGCGAAGCCCTTGGGAGATTTTGACGACAGCTCAACCCAGCGGACCGCTGATGACGACAGACCTAAGCGATCAAAATAGCTTGAGGTTTATATTGACATCAAAGCACTTGTTTCGTCGTTTTCTCTAATAGTTAACACGCCCAGACAATTAATTCGCAAAATCACATTACTTTCACGAATTAAAATCCACTTCAAACCTTCATTCAAGCGACAAAACACAAAAGAAACAAACCGTCGTCGGCCAAGTTCCCGCTAAAACTCCTCATTTTCGACTTGAGAAACTGACAACCTATGTCAAGCGTCAACATATTTCTTTACTCTACTATCAAAGCCATGACCACCACGGAGCCGGGACCACCACGGAGTACTCATAAGTTCTTTTTTGACGTAAAATTTTGGGATTGTAATGAAAATGTACGAACAGATATAAAGCAATACCAGCAGTGATCGAGCCTATATTTTATTAGAAAAACTTGGTTATACTTTTGAGTAATCGAAAATTTATAAAATAAATGGTTTTTGATGACTGTCTTAAATATTGCCAAGTGAATCTATATATTTAAAACATAAAAGATTTTTAACATTGATATGGTCACTATACGAACTCTCGTAAAATGTTGTTAGGTTAGCTAATTACGTAATAACTTAAAACAGAAGGGCCCTTAACTAGGGACTGAATAAATTAAGGGACTTGGTATTACATGGATGTCACAACTTTTTACGGTAAAAGAACTGAGTTGCGAGACTTGGTTTTTTTACAAGTTATGTTTTTGATGGCATCTCATTTCTTTTTGTAGATAAGATAGTCCTACTTTTTCACCTTTCCGGTACCTTTACCGTACATTCCTTCGAGAAAAGTATGGTACGGCCGTGCCGGTTTTTTGCTCGACTTGGCGGGGGCACTGCCGTGCCCCCAGATGTCTTAGTGATTTTAGTATGGTATAGTGTAGTTAGTTTTTTAGTTAGATTTTTCGAAGTGTTCCTATTTATTGCCAAAGCTTGTTTGCTATTTTTTCTTAATATCTTAGTAGGTATAATAGAACTTTGTGTTTTTCTCTTTGTCCTCCTAATTTTTGTTTTATAGGATGGAAATGCTTAAGGTGTATATATAATGCATATTACCATCACGTACCTTATTTCAAAAATAATAAAATATTTTAACTTACACAAACCTCATTTTCAAAAATTAAAATTAACAATCCACTTATTTTTAAAATTTATGTTATTATGCGTAGACTTTGGCACTATATTATCTCTTCGCAAATTCGGACAGTGATAATAGTAGCATATCTCATCACCACTATCTGTATCAATACTTTAAAATTGTATACTATTTTCATAAGAGCTTAATAATCCTCGGTAGTATAGTGGTAAGTATCCCCGCCTGTCACGCGGGAGACCGGGGTTCGATTCCCCGCCGGGGAGAATTACATTTTTAATTCTTGGTAAAAGTAAGTTTTTTTTTCAATATTAGGAGGAAAATAAAATTGTTAGTAATGTAGTATATAGTAAATTTTGTTAGTATAGCTTTGGTTAGCCAAATCTATGGGGTAACCTACTTCATCACGTGAAAGTCCAATTCTGAACATGGGCGTCTCCCAGACGATTTAATTGTAGATAAGGTTTGTCTTAAACAAAACGTTGTGCGTCTTTTGACGCTGTTTCTGGGTATATAACGCGTGTTGTAAACGAGATGGTTTTACCGCCCTCTATCGGAAAGCCATTAGATCTTTTTGGCATGTCTCATAGTCGCCTCTTACGACAGCCTAGGGACGAAATTCGGTGACGTGAAGGTGTGTGTGTGTGTGTGTTGCTGTGTGGATCTGTGTACGTCTGCGTGTGTGTCTTACGCTGCCATCACATAGCAAACCTTAACCTATATTTATGATATCTAATATGCAATGAAGATATTTTTAACACACAGATGCCTAAAGAAATTCCCATTAAAGAGGCCGTAATGCAAGAGTCAGAAGCATCGGGTTCAGATTCATTCCAAGAGTATGGTCCACCAAAGGTTCAAGAGGTGTCCCAAGACCTTTCAAATCAAGGCCTGCCAGACGCAGAAATAGAACAAACCTTCGCAGCGGTTGATTTGAAGGTTGAACAAAACGAAGAAAAAGAAGTTGCTGTGGCAGTAGCTCAAGCTGCTACTGAAGAGGTTGAAGGTAAATTATCATTTTAAAAATTGGGCACATTTTTTAGCAACAGAGGCGTAGATTTTTAATTTTTTATTATCTTTCTCTCTTGTGAGTTTGCTGATTATGCAAAGCAAATAGTACGCAGTTAAATATATTATTCACAGAATTGAAATAATTTTATGAATTAACTGATGATGTATTTTATTTGATTAAAAAAAAGGTTAGTTTGCCGTTTTTGTTATGGTAGTAGTAAGTCTAGTTAGTCTTTCCAGCAATTCTTAAATTATTAAAATTAAACTGTTTTTTTATTTATTTTTATCTATAATTTTAGTTGGGATATTACATATTTCACTTGAATAATATATTTTAGGCAAGGTAAACCAGAAATCAATTTCGGAAGAAATAATGCCAGTTACGGAAACGTTAGTTATTGTTGAAAGTACAACTTTAACCGCTGAATCTGACATAATAACTGAAGTCCAACCAGCGTTTGAGGTAATCACCCAAGTTACAGATGAAAGTAGTGCAAATGTCATTAATACTGAAACAGAAATCACCCAAGAAGAAGACGCAAGCCTTGGTACTGAACCACAGAAATTAGTTAATCAGCTTCAACAGAAATCTGTAGAGTTAACTCAGCAAGAAAATGAAAATGCTAATAGTGAAATAGTAACCACTTTTGAACAGAGGGTACAAGAGGAAGAAATACAAACTGTGGCAAAAGAGGTAGAAAAAATTGAGACCGAAGTGAAACAAGTAAAAACTGAGGTGGAGAAAATAGAAACTCAAGTGCAGAACGTCGAGTCAGAATCCAAAGCAGTGAAGCAAGAAATTCAAAATGTTCCCGAATTGCTGATTAACTTAGATAACGAAATCAAAAAGCAACAGGTAAAAATAAACTATAAAACGTAAATTATTAAAATTTTAATTATTTTTGTTGATTAAAATTAATAAAATAATTGTTCATTCTCAGGCCGAAAACATTCAAGAAATAGCGAAAGTTACTCTAGAAACCTTTGGGTAAGATTATATTGTTACTTTTTTAGCTTCGACACTAGAATTAAAAAATAATCATTGAAAGTTAATGCCTGTACTATTTGCTTTTTACTCATCAGTTAATAAAAATCTATTGACAGAAATTGACTTCTTTAAAATCAGAAAAATTGGCTGATAAAAATCGTTTTCGTCGGAATATCCGAATTCTACCCTTCCATTCATTACAGTCTATATAAATTCACTGCCGGACGGGCCTACGCGATAGTTTGCCTCATAGTAGGGTTTTTGCATAGTAGCCAATCAGGCGCATTGGCGATTGCAAAATCAAACTTTTCACAACTTCAACACAGCTCCCGATATTCGGCCCGTGTTATCGTCTATCTTTTATCGTGTAATCGTGTTATACAAGGGTTTCATTTAAGTCACACGTTTTACGTGTGACTTAAACGAAACCCTTATAATACCATCTATTCGAGGGCATGAGATATACCTGGTTTTCCCTTCAGTTGACTTTTGCGATATTCCCATTATGAGAGTTGTGATAGGACTCTTAACCCGCTTGTGTATACCGTTTGTCTATATAAAAGTCTAAACAAACTACGATGATTAAATAAAAAGAAACTGTGGAAATACGTGGCAGAGTCACGCTGCAGCTATATTATGGTTGCAGCACGAATGGGTCAGCTCGACCGGGGAAGGACCACGCTCTCACAGAATACTAGCGTAAAATAGCAGCTTAATAAAAGTATTTCGTATGGTTAGTGTAGAGATCTAAAGACTCTTTTTTATTGGAAACGAGGCATTACATGTTAGAAATCATGGGTGACAATGCAACTGCACTTTGATCCTTAATCGAAGATAAATTTAGATGTATATCGGCCACAGTATCCACTTACCATCAGGTGGACTGTGTGTCACCCTTATGCCCCGGCTACACGCTCCGTCTTGCCTGTGAGCATGCCTGCACAAACCGGTTTGCACAGGTAAGCTCGTGCGTGTGGACGGTAAGACGGTGGCTCGCGCAGGCGACCTGCGTAATCGTTGACGTGCTAAAGATTAGACTGCGCGGGTTTGGTTTGCACGGTTTTGCCTGCGAGCTTACTTGAGCGTGTGGCCGGTTATTCAAGCCGCGCTTCAGTCCGTCTAAATTCTTGTTGACGACACATGTTATGTTATAAAATCTTAAAATGAGAAATGTACGCAACTATTCCAGGGATTTTTTAACTGAATTCGTAGAATTGTACAAATCGTTGCCGGCGTTGTGGAAAATTAAAAGTAAGGAACATTCCGACAGGAACAAAAAAAAATGAAGCTTATCATTTATTAATTGAAAAACTAACTTTCTTATTTGTTGCTTTTTTACAAGTAAAGCATAATATAAGACTCCGTTTAAAAAAACCTCTTCTGGCCACATCGTGACGTGACTAGCTCTCAAAACACTTTGAGGTTTGCACAGTCCAGTTTACACAAACTGACCTGCACGAGCCGCTGTACAGCCATGACTGCACAGGTCTGGACTGGGCAGGCAAGACGGAGCGTGTAGCCGGGGCATTATTCTACAAAAATAATAACTGTGGAATATAATAACGTTCTTACAAAGCGACATCCTTTTATCAAATATAATTTGTTGAGCAGTACCTAACCGTGTTGTGGCGGAGTAATATCCACTACCCCATATCATCCCGTGGGTGTAAATCCCCTCTATGAAGCAATGTATCCGGATGGCCTATGTTCAGCAGTGAACTTTAATAGGTTGTCATAGATGATGTCTCAAAATAATTAACTACGCCTTAACTAAACATATATGCAATTATTTGATTTCACATTCTCTTATTCGCAGATCTTTTTTAATAAAATCTTAAAGTTCAAATGCATTGCCTGTGAATCTGCAATAATATCAATCTTTCCATATCAAAAATTATGAATGTACTAATTAATGTAATTTTATATTATAATGTAATTTTATTTTATATTAGTGTGTGTAAATTTCCACTAAGCAAGCTATTAAAAAGGACTAAATCACTTTTAAAATAAGACATTAAAAATATATTAAAAAACACATCAGGCGTATTTTAATTTTAAAAATTGAATATAACATAATTTTCAGGTCTCTTGAGCAAGCTCCTGAGGGCTTCTTGGAATATGGTCCTCCAGGTTTCAAGGAGTATGGACCTCCAAAAGATGAACTCAGGTCTACAGCCGAGGTAATATATGACAGTTGGTTAAAATTATGGAATAGTATAACTATGGTTAAAATCTAGTTTAATTGTAAATGCATTCCCTTAATAAGATTCCAAAGTTTCAGTAAGGTAAAATTAAGTAAGATAAATCTGAGAGAGGCAACTTCATCACGAAGTAATAATTATAGTCCTACCTTTGAAGTTTTGATGAAATATCGACGAAATCCTCACTTCATATTTTACTAATTCCTCCTCTAAAACGGGACGGATTTTTTTTTTCAAAAACAATCTACTGAGTATTATGGCTATGTCTGAATGGTTTTCTTTTATTTTTTATTATTATTTGCTGGATGTCTGACAAAGATCGTATACATGGACATTTCAGATTATTTTAGAAGGTAAAAAAGATTGAGCATAGTTGTTGTAGGCATAGAGTGTATTCTAAAAACTATTTGCTCATATGTCATTATCCAGGGATTATAAAATAGAGGGATACTATAATGCCCATTTAAATTTGTAAGGACTAAATGCCGCCCGGATATCCTCCTAAAACGTTTTTAAAAAAGACGAAAAAGGGAATAGACTTGTGGCGGCGCTGTCGTCGCGCCACAAGCGAAATACACCGAAGCCAAAATCACTCTATCAACATTCCGAATCATAAACAGCATATATAGAACATCTCCGAACTATCACACGGAGTGTTGGCCGCTCCCCGGGCAGAACACTTTGCCCGGTGGGAGATCTCCCCTTTTCTTTCATCGGCCACAGTGGTGACCCCGACGTGATCTGAACACGCAACCAAACAACCTTCGGAAACTTCATGCTTCATCATCGTCATAGAAATACCCCACCCATTCGCTCCCGAGCAGATATCGTCTGCAGTCTTCATATCCTGCAAGCCATCTAGCTTCACAAGGTTCATCGCAGCACTGGAATAATAATGCTTCCTTTTCCTTCAAGCTACTCTCTGCGCTATACAGTGTTCGGCACGGCTCTGAGCCTTACTGCTCGCCTCTGCTTCACGGCACTCTCGCAGATTACTTGCCTTCTTCTCGACTCACCGCAGACTACAAGGCAATCTCCTGGCACTTGCACATTCGTCGACAACTCGACTGCACTATCGACCTCCGGTCTGAGCAGGGGGGTGATGTGGCGGCGCTGTCGTCGCGCCACAAGCGAAATACACCGAAGCCAAAATCACTCTATCAACATTCCGAATCATAAACAGCATATATAGAACATCTCCGAACTATCACACGGAGTGTTGGCCGCTCCCCGGGCAGAACACTTTGCCCGGTGGGAGATCTCCCCTTTTCTTTCATCGGCCACAGACTGAATGGGGTACTACACTATTATAAAGAATCAGAATGTGTCAAAAAAGGCACGTATGGTAATTCATAATTCTGTGTTAGTCCCTACTTTAATGTATGGTAGTGAAAGCTGGGTGTGGCAGAAGAAGCACGAAAGTAGAATAAATGCTGTAGAAATGCGGTCTTTAAGGAGTATGCTAGGGTTGAATCTGAATGACAGGGTAAGAAATTGTGTAATAAGAGAAGAGTGTGGTTTGCAAGATGATGTTGTGACCAGGATTAAGAAAAGAATGCTTCGGTGGTTTGGTCATGTAGAAAGAATGAATGAGGAAAGAGTGACAAAGCAAATTGGCAGATGTGAACGGCAGAGTCGGGAAGGGACGCCCTAGAAAAAAGTTTATCGACCAAATTGGCGATATTTTGAAAATGGGCCACGTTAGAAGTACCCTTAACCGACGAGCATGTATGCGTAGATATATGGATGTAAAGGAGGCGAAAGAGGTATGTCAGGATCGTGCCATATGGAAGTCCGTAGTCTCTGCCTACCCCTCTGGGTGACAGGCGTGAGTGTTTATGTATGTACGAGAATTGTTAACTTCTCGAATTAAAGCTATTTTATCTGAGCTAAACAATATTTAACTAATAAAACTGATTTTAACTTCTCACTCGTTTTACGTTTACAGGAAATCAAACCTGAATTACAATCGATTAAAATCAATGAAACGAGGAAGAGACGATTTTCCCCAAAATTCAGGTAACACTATTTAATCTTATTGTAAGTTGCAATGAACTCATAGTATGTGGGCACTCGCGGAGGGGGCGTTTGGATACGAACAGATATTCTATGTCTGTGTTGTATATCTTGTTGATGGATCGCACATTGGATTTTTTTTTAATTACTCACACATTAAGGTTTCCTCACGATGTTTTCTTTAACCGCCGAACACGTGGTAAAAAAGCATTTAAAATTAGAACAGAAATATAATTTATTTAACCAAAAAGTCTATACACAATTAAACAATTCAGTAGTGTCTACACTAAGTTCTAGGCATAGAGTAATTAGACTAATAATTCTATGGTTCTAGGCTTGTATCATAGGAGCCAAGAATATTAACCGACACCGCTGACACCGATATTTTGCAATTAAGTTTCATTGGCGCCGGCGGGGATCGAACCCGAGTTGCTCGAGCTCTGTTAAGTTTACAAGACGAGAGTTTGGTCTTTGAACTACCAGCGCTCATAATTGTACTAAGTCTGAATATATTAATAAAAATCAATATGCCTTCCGTGACATAGGGCATATTACCAATTTATTTCTAAGAATCTTTTTTTTTTATAGTCTAAGGGTGACAAACCAGCACACAGTTCACCTGATGGTACGTGGATGCTGTGACCTATACACATTTATATCTATCCTCGATTAAGAATCAAAATGCAGATGCCATGTCAACCTTGAAAATTAAAGTGGAATGCCGCATTTCCAGTAAAGGGGGTCTCCGGTACTCTACACTCACCATACGTAAACGCGGCATTTTACACTGGTGTTGTGTGAGAGCGAGGTCCTTCCCCGGTCGAGCCGACCCAATCAAGCTACTACTACTATATAGCCGCAGCGTGACTCTACCACACGTATGATACGTATGGTTTATTGATGCTGACACTTTACACTGTGAGAAACAGATCCTAATTTAAAGCCTCAGTTCCTTCGTGACCATAGGTTCTGATAAGTACTCGAAAATTTGGGAATATAAAATAAATTGATAAAATCAGTAAAATAATTTTTATCAATTAAAAAATATACATAGTTCGCGTAAATATAATAATCTATAATGGAATATCAATGATTGGTTGAATTTGTTAATTTTATTTTTTCCTTTTCAGAATCACCAGTAAGGCTAATAAACCATGAAGAAAATAAATCCGGAAAATATTACCGAGAATAACTTTGACACTTATGAAAATATGCTTTGATTGAAAAAATGTGGATAGTATAGATATGTGTATTTTATATAATAAAAGATGAAATGTAACTGTAATACAGACTATGTAACTGTGTAACTACGTATATTTCATTTGTTATTGAATGAACAATTTAAACATTTTTAAATTCTGAACATTAGAAATTTGTTTTTTCATTAAAAATTGTAAACTATACACCCGATTGACTTGAAATTTCGCAATGTTTCACAAATTTCTCACTAAGAACGCAAATTTCTCACTAAGAACGAATTTACGATAGTCCCATCAAAAAAATCTTGATATTCGAAATGTAGTTTCCGCAATAAAATATTATCGTGCGCCCAACGAAGCAAGCGGGTATCAGCTATAGTCGGTATATTAAAGGGAATAGTAGTATAAGGCTAAGAACTCATGAAGCGATATTTACTCGCAACGGCAGCGGTAGAGGGACCGCGACACGCGTAGAATACAAGAAATGTTGATATACTATATGTAGTAAATTTCACGACGCGATTTTTACTCTCATGTCTCATCACGTGTGGTTGTTTTTTTAAAGAATAAGGTTAACAAACGAGCACACAGTCCATCTGATGGTAACTGGACGCTGTGGCCCATAGACATTTAAATTCATCCTCGATTAAGAATCAAAACGCAGATGCGTTGTTGTCATGAGGACTAAGATGGAATGCGTCGTTTCCAGTAAATAGGGGTATTCGGATGTCTACACTCACTACGCGAAACATAGCAGTATTATGCTGCTATTTTACGCTGGTATTCTGTGAGAGCGTGGTCCTTCCCCGGTCGAGCCCACCCATTCGTGCTTCAACATATACGTATAAAACGATATTTGCGTTATTTACGGCTAGCTGTCGCTGCACCGGCGCGGCAGACAACTAGAAAGAATCGCGCAAGCCGCAGGAACTTGCTCGGTTTTCGGTTGTAAGCCTTCGGGTACGCTGTCGCTTTGCCTGGGACTTTATTGGTAATATAACATCACAAATAAACCACCTTGTGCCTGAACGACTTGCGATTATCTTCTGATGTGTTTGCAGGCGTTACCGACTTCACAGCGAGCAGTAACGCACACCATATTGAGGCCTAGTGAGTATTGAAATAAAAGAGCAGTTTAAATGAACGTTTCAGACGCGAGTAAATATCGCTCCATGAGTTCTTAGTGTTAGAATACTAGTTTCGAAAACACGCTCGACGAATGCTACGATCAGCAGTGATGTCATCTACCACTATTACGTAGTACTATTATTTATTCTGTGTCATTACCTCCGACCAGTGAACGAGCTGAGCCACCTGTTCGCAGGTACCAAGAAATTTTAGAGGCCATCCGTATTTGGTTACTGCTATAAGCCACAATGCTGTGCACAGACCTCCTCGCATTTCTGAGAGGGTTTTAGGGCAAGGAAATGTCACCCGCGCTGCCCCAATGCGTGTTGACGAACTTAACATGTCTTCAAAATATTTTTTCCCTATTTCTCAGAGATGTAGGTTTCGTCACGATGTTTTCCTTTACCGTCGAGCACGTGGTAAACTATCATTTAAAATTGCAATTAACAACTTCATTGGTGTCGGCGGGGTTCGAACCCAGATTGCTCGTGTACTATAAAATTTACAGCGAGCGCTTAGGATTCAAATACAAGGATTTTGGTTGCGATAATATTAGTTGGGTCATGATTGCCAATATATTAGAATACGTTCTCCCCGCAGTCACACAAATTATCAATTTTTCCCTTGACTCGGGTCAGTAGCCGACACTGTGCAAAAAGGCTTTCATAAGACCTCTTCCTAAAGTTTCCAATCCTACTCTTCCTAATCACTTTCGTCCCATATCAGAAACACAAACAGACTTTTTCATTCAATATAGATTATAAATGATACTTATTGAAAGTCTCTTTTGCATTCCTTAAGCGCAAAGCGCATAGGTATGTTCTACTAGCGCCTGAAAATCAAGAATCCAATGTTTTGCCGCATGAAATTGCATCTAACAATCATATTGAACATATGAATGATATAAAAAGCACATTGTCGAAAAGATAAATGATTGTTGAACTTATTATTTTTTTAAATCAATTAATTGTTATTTTTACATTAGAAAAGTGGTTTAGTGGCTTATGGTGTTGATTTATCAAGTTTGCGTGGAGGGGTAAACACGATAACATTTGAAGATATCAAATGTTCAACTCGATCTCTTTTTTAATCGCTTCATCTACCATGTGGGAAGCCATGGAATGTAAATGGCTGTTTGAATTTGTTTTTTTTTTTAGTTTTAATTAACTTTTCGGCTGAGTAATTCCGAAATATTCGGTGTTTGAGCAGTAAAATTAAAAAAATCCTTTCTATTGTTGATTGAGAATTATTTCCTACATTTTTTTCACGATCATATGAGCATTATGAGTCGTGCACTTTTGAATTTTCCAAACTTTATTTTTTTGACGTTTAACATAAATAAACCCCATATCTCCCCGTGGGTGTCGTAAGAGGCGACAGAGGGAGACAGGCAGGAGATGGGCAGCAGCATCTTCCTGATAACAGCAATGATATAATAAAAAACTGCGGTTGCCAACCCGCTCGCCAAGTGTGGCAACTATGGCAAATATCCCCCCATGAGTAACGACGCAAACAAACGGCCCCCAGTCCCCGGCGGCCCCGCTATTCCTGGCTACGGTGGCGACCATGGTAATGGCGGGGCAGGGGGTGCTAAGAATCTCCGGTGGAGGTTCAGTTGCCACCTACGACGACTCGACCTGGCAACATATAACGCACGCACCCTGAGGACTGACGAGAAGATACTGGAGTTGGAAGAAGAGGTAGACAGGTTGGGCTGGCATATTATTGGGTTATCCGAGGTTCGAAGAGAGGGGGAGGACACGGTAATCCTCGAGTCCGGCAACTTGTTCTATCACCGGGAGGGCGGCCATCTGTCCCAAGGAGGTGTCGGATTTATCGTCCACAAGTCTCTCGTCAACAACGTTGTAAAGATTGGGAGTGTGTCGACGAGGGTCGCGTACCTGATACTCCGAATCACCAAACGGTATTCGCTGAAGGTCATACAGGCTTACGCACCAACCTCGGCACATCCCGATGAGGAGGTGGAGGAAATGTATGAGGATATTACCAGAGCCATGCATTCCTCCAAAACCCACTACACGGTGTTGATGGGAGACTTCAACGCAAAACTAGCCACAAGAGAAAGCGGTGAGCTGAAGGTAGGGAAATTTAGAGTAGTGCAACGGAGCCGTAGGGGCCAGCAGCTGGCCGACTTTATGGAGAAAGAGGGACTCTTTATGATGAACTCTTCCTTCCAGAAGCGGCCCCACAGGAAGTGGACCTGGTCGAACCCCGACAGTTCGACAAAAAATGAGATTGACTTCATTATGACGACCAGACGCCAACTGTTCAGTGATGTCTCAGTGATCGCAAGAGTGAAAACTGGCAGCGATCACCGAATGGTTAGAGGCACACTGAACCTAAAAGTTAAGTTGGAGAGGTCTCGTCTAATGAAGTCAACGCTCCGTCCCCCTCGTGCTCTAATCCAGAATCCCGAAACCTTTCAGCTCGAGTTACGTAACCGCTTTCAGTGCCTAGAAGATTGCAATGCAGTGGACGATATGAATGACAAGCTCGTGGAAACTGTCCATGCGGTCGGAGCTAAGTTCTGCAAGACCGGCCGCAGAAGAACACAAAAGCTCTCCGATCACACTCTTAATCTCATGGCTGTTAGACCGGAGATGAGGCTGCAATCGTCAACAGATTTGACAGCATACAGGCAACTGAACAGACAGATCTCCAAATGCATGCGGCGAGACTTACGCAACTTTAATACTGCTCGTATTAAAGAAGCGATCGAGCGGAATCAGGGCTCCAAAGTCTTTGCTTGTCAGAGATCTGTCTTCCAGTAAGAGCCAACTGTCAAGGCTGAAGACTGAGTGTGGCAGCATCGTGGGACACCTGAGATTCTGAGTGAGATTGAGAGGTTCTATGGGCAGCTGTACACATCATCGTTGGAGCCACACGCAAGTGTGAGTAACGATCCAAGAGCGGGTCTTATCCGACACTATTCCGATGATATCCCGGACGTCAGTCTGAGCGAGATTAGAATGGCTCTCCAGCACCTTAAAAACGGCAAGTCCCCGGGCGAGGATGGAATTACAGCGGAGCTTCTGAAAGCGGGTGGAAAGCCGGTACTTGAAGTCCTTCAGAGGCTCTTTAATTCCGTCCTCCATGGTGGCACTACTCCGGAGGCGTGGAGCAAAAGTGCGGTGGTCTTGTTCTTCAAGAAAGGTGAAAACGCCCTCTTGAAGAACTACAGACCGATATCCCTTCTGAGCCGCGTCTACGTGCTGTTTTCGAGAGTCATTACGAATCGTCTCGCACGCAGACTCGACGACTTCCAGCCTCCCGAACAAGCCGGTTTCCGAAAAGGCTTTAGCACCATAGACCACATACATACCCTTCGGCAAATTGTACAGAAGTCTGAAGAGTACAATCTACCACTTTACCTGGCGTATGTGGACTATGAAGCCTTTGATTCCGTTGAAATTTGGGCGGTGCTACAGTCTCTTCAGCGGTGCCAAGTTGACTGTCGGTATATCGAAGTGCTGAAATGTTTGTACAGTAGCGCTACGATGGCTATCCGAGTACAGAACCAGAGTACGAAACCTATCCAACTGCAGAGAGGTGTAAGACAGGGTGACGTTATTTCCCCGAAACTCTTCACCGCTGCATTGGAAGACGTTTTCAAGCTACTGGACTGGAAAGGATACGGTATTAACATCAATGGCGAGTACATCACTCACCTTCGATTTGCCGACGATATAGTCCTTATGGCAGAATCGCTGGAGGACTTAAGCACTATGCTAAATGACCTCAATAATGCCTCCCAACGGATAGGTCTTAAGATGAACATGGACAAAACAAAGATCATGTTTAATGTCCATG